TCTAGTTCCCTCAGCAATAGACGCACAATCAAACAGAAACACAGACAAGTCTAATGCCCTCGGGAACATTTTGTCAAACATCTTGTAGGTATTGCACCACAGACAGGAAATGGAGAAAGAGCAAAAGGAAATTTTGAGCATACAAATTCAAACCATCTCGAACATATGAAATAATTCTGACACACCCAAATTGAATAGCTAATTCCCTGATATCAAGCTTTGTCCTGTAGCACCAATGATTTGACAATCCAGTAAAACGTCCATCCAGATATAGCACAAACCATACAACTGATAATTAAACGGAAAGAAACTCTGAAGAGAATAGAGATAAAACCAACTTGACTCCTAGGCCATTGTGCAACAAATTGTACGATCTGATATATGCCTTTTCCGACATCCCACTTAGCCTGGTGGCACTCGATCGATCAAACAAAATTCCCATACTGCATGAAAAAAAAAAAAAAGCTAAATATTACCCATTGAAGGAACTCAACTAAGCAACGAAAAGTTGGTAAAAAACACTAAGCATCGGCAAAAGTACCTCGTGGCGGCAATTTCCAAGCAAATTATAGCTTTGCAAACTTCCCCCTACAGATAAAAATGAACAAGCGGAATAGTCAGTATCCAGAATGCGTAATCTGAAACCCAGAGATTCAATGGTACTGAACTTACAACTCCAATGACAGAGGAATCGAATTGAACGTCGCATAAGCGCCGGGGTTCCAACGCTTTTCGCACAGCGAGTTTAGAATCTGATAGTCCGAGCTTCTTGGTTATCTCTGACATATCCATTTTCCTGAAATTGCCTCGGCAGAATGGAGAAGAAGACCTGCTCTTTGAAAGGGTTAATCGAGGTTTGAATCAGTGAAATGAACAAAACAGATGAGGTGGTGGCACTGGCGGGAATGCGAGTTCATCCAAATAATTTTTTAAAAAAATTACAATCAAGTCCCAAAAATAAATATAATTATTAATTTTGTCTTTATAACTAGAGCTAATAATAGGAGTTCAACTTGCGAGCTCAGCCCGCCAAAAAGTAACAGACTGGGTTGATAAAAATGAGAATCATCTTAAAACGGATTTTTGAACCCGTAACTACCAAGATCGAATTTGCGATGAGCTAACCCGCCAACCGTTGTACTTCTTTCTCTTTTTTTTTTTTTCAAATTTGCCCCTTTGAAACTATCAATATTGAGTGATGACTCATAATTGAGCACTTGATAATAATTTGTGTAGTGACACATTGTGTTTATGACTTTGTGGTATTGTTGATTTGGATTTATATTTTAATTTGGGATGTTTTTAAAATCATTTAGGATATATCATGCAATCGTATATTTCATATTTTGAGGTATTTGAAAGTTGAAACTTTGGATTCCATGTTTTACTTATCATAATTTCTATTTACATGTTTTATTTTAGGTATTTAGAAATTTGAGTAGAATAAAAAGAACGACCCAAATATTCCATTTGCATGTTTTATTCAGGCTCGTCACAGGCCAACCGTAACTGGTGGCTCGCCTATATTACTAGTTCTATCTATAACAACTTAAACAACATATAATAATAAGTTCTAAAATAAAGAATATCAACGTCTACCACATTTGTTTTGTAATTTTTTTCTTTTTTAAGATCTCATTGTAATTTTTCCTAATCTATTTCCCAAATTTTTCAATATAAAATTAATATTTGGGGAAAACCTCCTCAAAAGAGGGATGAATTACCCAAATTCTACTTTGCGTTGTTAAACTCAGAAAACCATTAAGCAGGTCATACGATCTAAATTGAGATTTAGAAAATTTGTCAATTTACCCCAATGGCCCCCATTAACTAGAAAATTAAAGGTAGTTTGCTATGCAAATTGAAATTGGTGAATTGCAAAAATTAAGTTGTTAATTTCTAAGGCCATCTTATGCTTAAGTTAAAATAGGTTTGTTGGAAAAGTTTTGTTGCGAATAAGAACTTGTGCATTGCGAATTGGAACTTGGGACGAATTGCAAAATTTAGCGTATTAATTTTTAAAGATGTCCTATGCTTAAATTATATATGGTTAATGCAAATATTTTTTTTGCGAATATGAACGTGTGAATTCTAAAATTTAATGTTTTAATTTTTAAGGTTGTCTTGTGCTTGAATTGCAAAAATTTTAATGCAAACTTTTGCTGTGAGAGGAAACTTGTGAATTGAGAAAGTTAACACCTTATTTTTAAGAATAAGTTGTACTTAAGTTGCAAGATGATTGTAGCCAAAAAAAAAAAAAGTTACAAGATACTTATTGCAAAAATTTTGTTACAAGTTAGAACTTGTAAATTGGGAACAAAACTTTTTAAAACAATGCTTTTAGAATCAACTTAAAGAATTAAAAACATTGTTAAATTCAATTATTTTAATTGATATTGACACTAACTTTTTTTTTATAATTACTTAATATTTACATGTTTGATTCATACATGACATAATTCAACTTATAAATATAAAAATTTTATTCATAAACATTATTTGGTGTAAACTCAGAGTACCTCTATGTCATTTTAAACTTGAGACTAATTTCTGTCATGCCGAGAGCATTAATATTAAAACCCTCCCAACAAATACGCTTCTCCATATTCGAACTTGTATTCTCCTTCTTATAAGGATGAGACTGTTTACTATCTCAATTGTTCATTATTTAGGAACATTAAAATTTGATTGTAAATAACACAACTGGACTATTACTCAAATAAGTCGTAAGTTAAATACAAATTTAAGCTATGATATTGTTCATTGTTTTGGATATCCTAATGGACTGCCTCATACCAGGAAGAAAAACTTGCCTTTGATTTGATCTCATTTTGCTTTTGCCTTTCTACCCTCTGTACAGTCTCCTTTTTCCACCACTAACTTTTTGCTTTAAGAGAAGCTCTTGTCTTCTCGCTTTCTCAAGATACTATACGGAATGGATTGGTATTCCATTGGGATTACACCTCATATCCAAATGTTTTGTAACCAAATGGAGCATGACACCATGGTCTCGTCAAGATGAGACGGGTGACATATTTCCAATGTCTCTGCTCCTTTTCTTTATAATTTAATACTAATTGGCTATTTTATCCCCCCAAAAAAAAACTTCACTTTTAAATATGAAATTCATTGAGCATGTTGTTATGAGTTAAAGTGTAAAAATATCCACAACTCTTATCAAAAGTGTGTACAAAAATGACAAAACTGTTATAGCAATTAACAACAGTTACTTTTTAATAGTGGGGTCCACAATATTATCATGAAAATACTAAGATAGGCTGAGGGGATATTTGGTAAAAATAAAACCATGATTTTAAAAGTATTTTTATATTATACGAAATAAACATGTAAAAGAGTTTGTTTTGATTTTTAAAAAAAAAAACTATTTTTAAAGTACTTTTGGATTATTTAAACAACTTCCGGGTCCAAAAATAAAACTCTACCCGACCTGTTTATCTTCTCGGTTGATCTCCCTCCCAACTTAGCAAGAGGGGGGAAAAAAAAAGAAAAGAAAAACCACCCTCAATCTGAGACTCCAAATTGAAGAAGGCAATTTTATTGATTCGCCTAGACGAACAAATCCAAAGTTCGACGGCCTGAGACTTTGGAGTATCACGAGGGAAGGAGGAACGTAAAGCAGCCATGCCTTTTTTGATTTTGGGATTTGACCTTCAACTCCGTTTTGCCGTCCTCACTCTGATCGAGATTTGAGACAAGATGATGGCAACGGCGGTGAGATCTAAGATGATCAGCGATAACCTCTATGACTTTTATTGACCAGGATCTAAGATGACGAGCAAAAGTTGCGGAACACAATGTGCCCACTCTCTCTCTTTTAGGTGTGTTTAAGACTGACTCGTCCCGATAAACCTGTTCCGGTCCCGACCGTCTAGTCTTGAAATTTTTTAGAACCAAACAAATCAGGATAGGACAAAAAAATAACTGGGATAGGACAGGACATGAGACGGGATCGTCCCATCCCAGTCCTTTTTATTTTTTCTATTTTTTTATCATATTTATATAATATCATTTTTTTCATATTTTTTTTAAGACTTGAGACTATTATATAAAACTAGCATCACCTCTCCCGCGCTCTGCGCGGGAAGCATTCACTTCATTTAATCATATATAAAAACACTTCAATCTAATTTTTAATTATACGTAGAAACACTTCAATCTAATTTTTAATTATACATTAATGTTTCTATGGGGCAAACAATTAATAAACAATATTAGCAACACTTTTAATTAAACATAATGAACATACAGTGAGTGAATACATTAAAAAAACAATAAATCATGTCAACAACTGGAATTTTCACACATTACAACAACATCAAGTTATAAGTTGCTAAATATCTCCTTATACACAACGTTTTTTGTGGTCTTCTCACTTGTAGATGCACTCCTTGGAAGAACAATTTTCAAACCATCCATGCATTTGACTCTTGATAGTGCCACATATAGTTGACCATGAGTGAACACAGGCTTTTGTAAGTATACTCCAACATAACGTAATGACTGACCTTGACTCTTATTGATGGTCATTGCAAAGGACAAAGTAATAGGGAACTGTCTTCTCTTCATCTTGAAAGGCCATTTACTTTCTGATGGGTTCATGTCCATTCGATGAATCAAAACCTTTTGATTTGGTTTTGAACCATTCAATGTAATTGCCTCAATAACAGTCTTGCCTAGCTTTGTAATACGAAGTCGTGTACCATTACATAGTCCTTCTGCTTGATCTATATTCCTCAGCAAATAATTGGTGATCCAACTTTCAACATTAGCTTATGTGGTGGCAATCCAGAGCTACTAATAGTGTTCAGAAATTTAGTAGTGTATAGATTGTCAAAGCTGTCCTTTGATTCGAAGCCTGGCACACTGAATCCGAACTGAAGAACTCATGGGCTTCACCGGGCAAAAGAGAGCACATGTATTGGTTGATCTTGTCAACCATTTCGATTGTTGGTGCAAGTATAGCCCTATCATTGAAGTATTCATTGTTTTGACAGGTTTGCAATGACATCACCATAAATTACTGAGACAATACCTTCAATTGTATCTTCATAATCATTCACTAACAGTGCTTTAGGCACTTCAATGTCAGTAGTACCGTCATTTGGCTCCCCTAACTTGCCATCACCAACATCTAATAGCCATTTGGAAAACCACTCTAGTTTCTTCTTATCTTCTTCACTTCCCAACGTTGTCAATCGCATGTTTTTTGTTAAGGTGAAAATGGTACAACTACTCCACAAATATGAGGAACATATACATGCATTAACGACACTTGCTCTTGAACCTTTTGGAACCACAGGAAGTATTTGACGAAAATCACCTCCCATTATTATGCATTTCCCTCCAAATGGAAGATTTGAATGGATTAGATCCTTCAGTGAATGATCAAATGCTTCAATGCAATAACGTTGCACCATCGGAGCTTCATCCCAAATAATGAGCTTAGTGCATTCAAGTAATTTTGCCAACGGAGAACCCTGACTAATAGAGCACATTGAGGTTTCATTAACTTGAATAGGGATTGCAAACCTCGAGTGAGCTGTCCTTCCAGAAGGTAGTAATGTAGCAGCAATACCACTTGATGCAATTAAGTACAATTTTGCTTTGTGCTCGTAACGATGATGCCAATGCATTCCATAGGAATGTCTTCCCTATCCCACCAAATCCATAAACAAAAAAGAAACCTCCATTATCATTTGATACAGTAGACATGACCTTGTCAAATATGCTTTTTTGCTCATTAGTTAATGAAGGAATTAACTTATCTGCTTCAGCTTGTAAAACATTTATGTCGTAAGATAACTCCTGCATAATCAAGTTGTTTCCAACATCTATAGGTGCTGACATACCTGGAATTGGCAAAGAAGGGAAGTCATGGATGCTTTTTCCATTTTGACGAAGTAAAGCATCAATATCCATAAGTGCAACACGTTCTTTCTCTACGGGTGAAATGCTGACATCTGTAATGAATGATAATAGAATTTAGTATTAGATAATAATAAAAAAATAATATTCTTCCAAAAGTGAAGATGAAACTTACTTGAGAAATTTGGGTCACGGCGGGGTATGTACATTAAATCTTCTGACAATAACTTTGAACAATCACTCCATACTTTCTTTGGTTGATGCAAACAACAACATAAAAGCATAGAGATAAAAAATTTACACAATGACCTACCAGATGCCCAAACTGCTGCTTCTTAGATTCCTGATATATATTCAGCATCATCATCTAATGAACCAAGTGCCAGACATGCTGCCCTAAAAGTTGGATGGATAACCCCATCTACTGTTCTAATATCTTCAAAAGACGAAGGCCCCTTAACTTTGGTGAGTAAGATTCGTAAGTAGTACAGTTCTCCAACTGAAGCTGATACATGGTTTATCCTACCAACAGCAAATCCTTTTTTTCTCTCCTTCCATTGCCTTTTATTTTTTTGGTACACAAAATGATTAGGAAATTCAGCATAAGTTAATGTAGCAGCAAGCCCACCCTTAGAATTAAATTTCATCCATGCTAGAAATTGTGACTCAGCAACTCTTGGCTTATCCAATAAATCCGTAACATCATCAGAGTTAGAGTAAATAATAAACTGTTGATTTGGTAAGTGGAAGCTCAACCTCTCTACTGCTGGATATCTATGATGAATTTGAAACCCAAAAATACGCCAAGCACTTTCACATGCAGATATGTACCTACAACTATAGTATTGTTGTATCTCATCAATGAAACCTGTAGCGTCGTGGTTCCTACTATTGTCAAATATTCCAGCAACAACTCTATCATTTCCCTTACTGATGTACTTAAATAAATACTTAATTGAAGTTGATTGATTGCATTTCTCCACATTAATGTGTGCTTGGAACATCTGCAATAATGTTGGATTATATGGGACAACAAATCGATTATCAAGGGCTATACCTTTAACTTCTATTTGCCTCCCATCATCTCGCCTACGATAAGTAGGATAACCTTCATCATCCAAGGTAGTTTGTTGAGCGAATCTCTTGGGGAAATATTTTGTGCATTTCTTATCCTTCATGCATGGAGATTTTGGATTGTTTGCCCCACATAGACCATGCAACATATATTTTTGGACCAAATCATATAATATAGGTGAAGACTCTTTGTCAGGAATTTCAGCAGATATGACTTCATCTATACGTTCAGCATTGTTGATTTTGTCTTCTGGTTCAAGAAAAAGGAGAATGTGTGCATGTGGCAACCCTCGCTTTTGAAATTCCACTGTATATACCTCTACATGTTAAACCATAAGTATTAGCACAAAATAAATATAAAAGATGGCATCACTAATTGACAACAATATAATTACAAAAAAAAATGACTTCATATTACCTGCACGTACAGAGCCAAAAATTCTCTTCTCTTTTATTGTCTTGAGAAGAGAATGCAACTTCATCTCAAAAACCCTACATAAGATGTTAGGCCTATCTGAAGGTTGCAAAGATTGTTTTTGACAAAATCTCTTGATTTCTGGCCAAGCTGGATTGCAAGTGAAAGTTAAAAATATATCAGGATATCCTGCCCACCTGCATAAGGCCATAGCATCTTGGTAATTTTGTATCATGTACCTTGCTCCTCCAGTGAAAGAGGAAGGTAGTATTATTCTTTTCCTAATAGCAGACGCATCCGTTTCACCTCTAAGTACTGCATCAGTAAGACCTCTATACAACTCAACTCTAAGCTCTTTTTGATGTGTCCTAACCCAAAGTAATCTTTGAGATTCAATCATTGTGTACCCATCAACTATGAACTGTTGAAGTAACCTTGTGGCATGTAATAAGACGGAAAGCTCAAGTTCACGTGTCATCAACCTATATGAAAAGAATTCTCTCATGCTTAGCCTTTTCTTTTTCTTTGTGGCACTTAATGTCTCTTCTCTGTGCTCAATATCATCTCTATATCCATCTTCTCCATATGGGAATAGTGAAGGATATTGAAGAGGTAAATAACATGCATGTAGCTCATTAATGCGTTTGGGAATTCCAGATTGGTACTCCACAATAATATCTCTGACATTGTAACTGTTATCAATATCACTAACAATCAAAGCTGCAACTTCAGAAGTAGAAGGCATGTTGTATATGCGGCCATCATGATATCTTGAACTAATTAAGCATAACTTCAGCGTAGCATAGTTATCTCGATTTATAATTGAAGCTACATGATGGTACTGCTTTACATATGGATTAACTTCATCAAGCATCAATTTAATTTCATAGGCAAGGGCTGGATCAATTGTAGAATCTCTTTGATGTTTACTGCAAATCAATAATGAAATAACATCACCAAAAAGTAACTACTTATACCATTAAGATTATCTAGGAAAGAAATAAATTATGTGTTACCTCACAGCAGCAATCCTATTGGGCACTTCATTTTCTGTGTCAAAAATATAAAGCTGTGAATACACAAGTTTTAGAGCCTTCCATTGGCAGCAAACTCCCAATACTATGATAATTCATTCCAAACAGAGAGAATGCATATGGGCCTCCACCAGAATTCAAGCCATGATCAATCTTTCCTCCCATTGAGGTGAACGAAAACATGTTATTATATTGTCGTATATTTGAAAAAAAAGTTCTTAGATTTATTGGAGTCCTTTTCAAAGAAAAGTTTATTCAACAAAAGGGAGGTGATTTCATAGGTGGTAATAGAACTTTTCCTTGCATGCAACATAAGGAAAAAGTATTAGCATTCCTTTTTTTTCCATCCTTTTTAGCCCTTTCATTATACCAAAATATTGCTCCACAATATTTACATAAATGCATAGGATCACCTTCGTCTACATACTCTGTGATCAACAAAAGATATTACAGTAAGCAATATTACAATAAGCAATAAATAATTTCATACTTTTACTAATCGCTATAGGGAAAAATGAAAGTTACCTACTAACTATTCCTTAAAATTGTAAGCTGGATCTGCTATTTCATTGGAAGGTGTGATCTCTACAACTGGTCTAGAGTTGACATCATCTAAGTCACATAGCAAATAAGATGTAAGTGCATTAGAAAATTATGGATGTGATTAATTGAATTAATGCTAAGGGTTTTACCTCCCATTATATCTGTAATACTCTCCCTACTCTCACTATATTCATTATCGCTTGAAACGAAACTGAAATGAATGTCCCGGTAGTCCACATCTGCATTGTCTACTATGAAAATTAAGAAATATTGACATTATGTAAGAAACTTTGCCATTGAAATTATATAGGCTTATAGAGATATGAAAGACATAAATAATACCAACCAATTGGATAAGTTTCATGTAACGCTTGGGATGGATGTGTGATAGTTGAAGCATTACTGTTACGTGTATTTTTTCTTCGGACAAGTTTCTTCGATGGCTCATCACATTGTAATTGAGAATGACTGCATATTCTATCATGTACATTGATACTTAACTGAATATTACTCCTTGTGTTGGCATCATTAATGATAAACCCCTCAACCTAGCACTTATTCTCTTAAAACCGTGGTCACCAAATAGTGGTATATTTTGATGGGCAAGATCTTTTGTAGACATTTTCTTCTTCTTAGAACTTGATACTGTTGCAAAAAAAAAAAAAGCACTAAACCTTTCAATTCATACTAAATGAATGGTGAGTAAGAATATTATAAGTGCCTGCACCTGGAGGATTACTAACTGCAAAACGATCTGACAGATTTAATGCAACGCTTGTGATATCATGCAAAACAGGTCTACTATTTTGCTGTTTGTGCAGATGATGATTGATATCTGAAGTGAAAACTTCCGATGGTTGAGTGTATCTATTTAAAGATAATGGAGGCTGCTCATTTTCTTTAGACGTTGGTGACGTTAAAGAGTTTGCATCTATGTCAAGACAAGATAAGAAAACAAACGATGCAATTATAATTATAAGCATGGGAAGTAGTAGATACAGATAGAAACAAAACAAATTGATGTATAAGATTATTACCTGTGCTGGTCCTACGGATAGAAGGGGATTCTGTAGATGGTGAAGGTCTCTTACGTCTCCTTCGCTTACATGCAGAACCGTTCTCATCAGGTGATGACTCCATATTATCCATGAGGAGATGCCCCCCAAGTGAGATATTAGTGTGCTCCTTCAACTACCAAAGTTCGAGATAAAGGTCAGATACTACCTTACTTTGCTTTGATGGGAAAAATTCACTTATTTGTTTCATTCTTCATTCACTTATTTGTTTCATTCTTCTTATTACTATTCCTTGAAGACCAATTAATCGGTGGACCTATTTATTTAGAACTTTTATATTTGTTGATATTTGAGACCATTGATTATTAGAATTTCCAACAAACTTTTATTGTATTCAAAGCTTTTATTTAGAGTTTTTAATAACTATTATATGTAATATTTTGGGTTTTTGTTTAAGAGTACCCAAAGAAATTTAAAAAAAAAAAAGTTTTTACAAAGGCTAAGTCCAAAACACTACAATTAGGGGGAAAAAAATCAAATTTCATTACACCAGGCCCAACAACTCAAAAAATATATCAAGACGTCTTGGTTTCGTCTTGTCCCGATCGGGACCGGGACAACTCCGGGATGGGATGGGACATGGGACAATTTTGTTGTCCTGTTACTGTTCATCGGGACGGAACCGGTCCCGGTCTAAGTCCCAATCCGTCCTGTGAACAGTCCTATTCTCTTCCCTCTCTTCATCAATTTCTTTGGAAGTTTTTCTTGACAGAGAAAGAATAAAAGAGGAGGACATCAGTTGAGCGAAGAAATTTGCAACATGCTGCTGGTTTATATGGAGATGGCGGAACCTACAAATACACGAACAGGACTTCAATTTACCGCGAGTCGGAAAAGGAGGTCTATAACTATTTGGCTAATTATCACCATAGGTGGGAAAGGGATTCCATGGAGGAAATTGTTATGAGAAAGGAACGAATTTCTTGAAAAACCCCTCAGCTAGGATGGTGTAAATTGAACACGGACGGAATGTGCACGGATGAAGGAAAAGTAGGATGCGGTGGAGCAATAAGGGGAGATGGAGGAGAATGGCTAAAAGGCTTCTCGGTGCAACTACAAAGATGTGGGGTGATGGAGGTCGAGGCATGGGGTATCTTGGTAGGACTAAAATTATGCAAACACATGGGATTCAAGAAAATAGAAGTGGAAAGCGATGCGACGCAAGTGGTGGACCTATTAGTGCAAAATAAAGAGAGAAGTCGACATATTCATATTTTCCAGGAAATTCAGGAGATGATGCAAAGGGATTGGCAAATCAAAATCAGTCATGTCTTTAGAGAAGGAAATCGAGCAGCGGACAAACTTGCTCACCTTAGTCTACAGATTGATCACCAAGAATCATCTGGGACACTCCACCGCCTGAAGTACGGAGCATACTCGAGGAAGACTTAGCTGGAACTGAGTTTCCCAGAAGAGTTTTTTTCTGTTTGTAATAGTCGTGTAATGTAATGGGTGGGGCCCTTTTTTTTCACCAAAAACAAAAAAAAGAAAGAATTGATCGCCTAAAAGATTATGGCCTTCATTCCTTGCGCTTTCACAGATGGATTATGGAGTTTGTTCCTTGAGCTTTCACATGTTTCCTCACAAAAAATGAATTATTACATTTACTTTATTGTTGTCTTTGGCTTTGTGGAAAGCTTCTGTTAGTATGGGAAGTTCAAATTTTGTTGATAGAACGAAACATATTTATAAATTGCATGAGTGATAAAGGATTGGCAATGGAATTCGTAAAGCCAATATGAAGTCCGTTCTACACATTTGACTCAGGCTCATCATGCACATTGTCCATTTAGGTGATGCATGGTCCCAGGATCTTAAGAATTAAAGAGAGGGATTTTCCTTGTGAAAACTAAAAGTCGATTTGCTACCAATCACACTATCAAAATTACTCTGTTCCTACTTCTGATAAGGATCTAACTGTTCACTTAAACCTTTTCCTTTTTATTTGTAAAATCTGGTTAATGTTGAATAATGATTTAGGTTGTGATATTTTCTTAAAATCTGGGTGTGGCTTTGATTAGAGTTTCATATGGTGATAGTTCTGAGCAGCCGGAAAATTTGCCGAGAGGTAGTGAGGGAGTGGGTTTTTTGGTTTAAATCGCGGGGGTGCTGTTAACTTAGTTTAACGGTTCTGTCATTTTTATATCAACTTTAAACTCGTACAGGTAGATTTACATTAAAAAAAAATGTTATTAGACGCGCTTAATAAAAATTTGTGAATATTTTTGTAGCAAAACCTATATACGTTTCGTCGGCAATTTTTCCTTGTGTCAATAACTTGTTATTTTTCACCATTTGTAAGTCTGGTATATACTAATTATATAAACACCTTATCTTTCTTCTAAATCTATTACTCATGCTAAGATTAAAAGCTAATTTAAGAGCCACATAAATTTTTAAAAAATGTTATCACGATGGTGCAAAAACATTATATAAAAGAAATATTTTTTTTTTAAAGCAAAATGAAAAAAAAAAAGAAGGATAAACATAGAAAAACTGTAGAAAAAAAAATTGAAAAAATTCGCCATAAACACTTATTTAGAGAATTAATTGCTCAATAACACCTTTCATATGTATAAAATCAAATACCAGTACTTTCTGTGTATCAAAATATACCAAGTGCTAGCATTAGGCAATTAATTTATCCAAACAAGTATTTATGGGCAATGTTCCCCAAAGAAAAATTCCATTTTGGGAGAAAAATTGATGGGCTTCATTGTAAGATTTTTTTTTTTCTTTTGTAAAAAAAAAGAGGCATATAAAGCCCACATGTTCCTAATGAATCTTGATGCTATTTGGATTACACCTATAAGTAAAAAACCCTTGCAGCGGCAATAAAATATGGGACCGCCTGAGTCTTTATTATGAATCAAAAGCTTAATAAAATTAAGCTCAACAACCATTTTGATGGCAATGGCATACAGGCATCTTGAAGATAACAATTATTGAGGCCTCTCAGAGTCGAAACATTCCAAACTTGTAGAATAATATTTCAACCATAGATCTAGTTTCATCAGTTTGAGGCTATTTGCAGGTTACACAAGAAAATTTCAATTGTCTTCTGGTAAAGATGGAGATTATCCGCATACGCTCTTGCATGTCCTCAGTACCTGTGAGCCAGCTTCTCCTTTTCCTGGTAGTTTTGAACATACCTACATACAGCCATCGAAGATGAATTAAATTCAAAACATAAGAAGGCAGCAGTGCCAAATGGAGTTAATATCCGTTTAGTTTCACCTATTTTATGAAAATGATTTCTGCAAAACTCCCAACCAAAGTTTGATCTGGTTATTCTTTTTCTTTTCCTTTTTTTTAAAAATCCTTTCCAATGAATACAAGAGTTGCGACCAGAAAACAAAACTAATAGCAGACTGACTAACTAAAATTGCTTGGCCCGAGGCCTAGTTAACAGCAACATAGCGCCCACTAGGAAAAGGGATTGAGATTAGAAATGCCATTGGAAGCTACCCTGCTTGGAGAAGAAATGGAGGTTAAAAAAAAAAAAGCCATGAGAAGCCCTCAAGTCGTAAGAGTGGAGTAGATTATGGGTAGAATTGAAATCCGGGCTCAAAATCTCCTAATGTATCAAAAGGAAATGCCATTGACATTGGCTTCCCGAATGGTTTTTGGGACAACTTAACAATGTACCATAAACATAATGCACTGGAATAACATCCTTGAAAGCATCATTTCTATGAATTCTATTGATTGAAAAACAATGCTTACATTAAAGTTTGAGTACTTTGTAACTTTGCCCCACAAATAGTATTCTAGTTATGTTCTTTATGTTTATTTTTGTGATCCAAACAATGTGCCTTTCGATTACATACTTGGCAATTTTATTTTATTTTTTTGAAAAAAGGTCTTATGCTGCTAAATTCTTATTATAGGCCATCCACACTCCACAGAGAATGTAAAAATTGTAATTAATATACCCCAAAAATAAAAATAACACCACGAGTTAAACTTCAGCTATTTGGCTTATTTGATACCACTGATATTCCTCCTTCCCAGAAGAACTGTTGACATGCTTTCTTACTGTAGATATGAAATTTAGATCTACCAATCTGTATATCATACAGAACATGAAATAGGGGGCAAAGACATATAACATCTTCTGAGGAATAAGTTCAAATTCTAAGGCTGCGTATGCTTAGAACACTATCCTAAGCTTATCATCAGCTTCCTTTGTAATTAAACTATGGAGTCTGTTAGTATCTTTAAAATCTTCCCTCTCATTCCTCCTTGGCCTCAGCTTTCATATTAACCTTGCGAGGTGTGAATCAAAATCAAATATTCATGACAATATTCGATAATCCGTCTTAGCGCGAGAATCTTACAATTGATGTATTTGTTTTAAGCTTGCGGAACAAAATCAGGAGTTCATAGCAATTTCATCATCCTCCTAGTGCAGAATCTTTCAACACCATGCTAATAATTGAGATGAGCGAGAAAAAAGATTTACACCACACCAACTAAAGTAAAACACACAGAAAAATGCAGGTCCTAAGAAAATAAGACAAGGAAATCGAATTAAAAACCCATCATTTCCCAGATCAGAAACACATGAAGGTATACATAAAAAGGGCTTTACAACAATGGAAGAAAACATACGTATAGGTGCCGACAAGAGGACCGAGCAAGAGCGTGGCGCTGATCCAATTCTCAGAGATCTTGTGGTGAATCTTGGAAGGCAAATCCTTCCAGAGACCAGTCATAACTTTCTGCTGGAAAGGTGAAAGAGCATAGACCACGGCCTTCATCCTAACGGGTTGCTTCCCCATCTCGGCAGCTCAAAGTTGCGGTCGTCGTCTTCCTCCGATCAAATCCGGTTGGGTAGGAAAAGAAAATGCAGTGATGGATTGGGGCGGGAATGGGCTCTGAAAACCCTAGGATCCGAAACTTTCGAATGTCCTAACTCTCATTCCGACCCGAATTCGAGTGCCTTTCCTTTTCTTTCTTTTTTTTTTTTTGGGGGGGAAAAGAAGGAATTCATTACTCAAATGTGTACAGGACCGAGTGCCTTGCTCGCTTCAATGGCTTTTTTACCCGATACGGTAAACATTACAAGATATTATCAAAATACTATACGGTGGGAAGTATTCCCCAAAATATATTACTGGACTTTAACTTTCTAAAAAAGTCGTTCACGTTAAGAACAACTTTGGAAATGTAACATATTTTTAATTACAAAAATTAGAAGTCATTCATAATGTGAATAGACTTCAGTCTTGTCCTTATTCAATAAGTGCTTCAGTGTGCCTTCTCTTGATATTTTCATCACTTGTATTATAGCTTGGGTCAAATCAATCTATAAGATTCGTCATGCGTTGTCTGTTCAGTTCTCTCAGCTTGTGAAGGCATAGTATAAAGCTGAAACGTGAAGTGATAGAAGAAGAAAAAGAGTCTGTGGAAGTAATAAGTGCATGGTTCATATAATTGTTGCATGGTCTGTATAATTGTTGCATGCTCCAAATTTTTTTCTTGTGGTTACTTTCTTTCCTCAGTCCATTCTTTCCTCTTTCTCAGTCCATTCTTCCTCTTCCATAGATATTAGCCATTTCTTCTTCTTTATCAGTTGTTTCCTTCCTCTTCTAGTTAGATATCGATGGTGTGTGTTGAATTGTGATATACTGCATTTTATTCCAGCTTGAAGGTTGATTACTGATCTTATTAAGGTGCATTCTCTTGCTTAATTTCTTTTTTAATTTTTATAGCAAAGTTAGTATATTTAGTCATGAATTTTTTTGACACATTGAGTTTGTTATTAAAAATGAAGACATGTTGCTAATTTTCTTATAATAAAGAATAGAGTACTACTGGTTAAGCATATTATATTACATAATTGTATTCATAGGAGATATAACAACTAAAAAGAAACTAACTCTAATGTGTTCAATGGATCCGCAATAATTTTTATGAAACTGCAGAGAGGGCATACCTTTAACTAGAAAATATATGTGTATACGTCTATTAACATCGTGGATGAAAGTATGAAAATTCAAATGTTGTAGACATAATTTTTTTTTTTAGCTAACTACTGGTTAATATTTGATTTTCCTAATAAAGGATTAAAAGGGGACGGGTATAAATGATTTGGAAGAAAAAAGTAACTAAAATATAAATCTTTTAAGACTCAATTTTTTTAGAGCAAATTTCCAAATTAAAAATTCATTAAATAAAAAAATCATGATATTAAAATTACATTTTATTTATGTTTTGACGATAATATTAAATATGTAATAGTTTTTAAAAAGAAATAAATATTTCCTCATACTTTATGTATTTTAAAAAATAATGCTAATTTATATAGTTAAATTTCTTTAGCTAAAAATATTAAATATTGATTTTTTTAATAAAAGAACGCATGTTTCATTTTCTTCTTGAAAGGCTTTAAATATATTTAATTATGTAGATTTTTTTTGACCTTATATTTATGTGGACTTGAGAACTTTGTTCAGTATTTTTTTTTCTTCTTGTTATTATATCATTAATTTTAGGATATTTAATATATTATGCTTGTAATTTCTTGTATTACATTTCATTTGGAGGCTATTAATTGTTTTATTAATAAAAATAAATTGATATGTAGTAGTATATGTAGCATATGTCTATATATAGTATAATATTTAGAAAATAGGTATAGATTAAAATTTTAGAATATATATGGTATAATATTTAGAATATAGGTGTGTAGATATTTTGAAAAGATCAATTTTAAAAATTATATATTTGTATTATTTTTAATAATTATTTTTATTATCTTATGAATAATAGAACATAGGTTGAAAAGTGAAATATATTCATTGTAGGGAGTATCTTGGCACAAAAAATTTGTAAACAAAGATAAATAAATAATTAAATTTAATTAGGAATCATTTTTCTATGATATTAACATTGTGGTGAGACCATTTTGTGTATTTCTATGATACGATTTTTTTTTTAAAAAAATAAAGTTATTAATAACGTTACAAAAGTTGGTAACAATTATACTGAAGTTGTAAAAATTTTCTTAAAAAAATAGTTGTTAAAGTTATAAAAATACCATTTTTAAGAAAACGTATTATTAAATGTTATACTAAAGTTGCCAATAGAGTTACAGAACTTGTTAACAACATTATTGAAGTTATAAAAATACTACTTTTTGAATTTCCCGAAAAACTTATTGTTAACTGCTATATTGAAATTGTTAATAGCGTTACAAAAATTATTAACTATTATAATGAAGTTGTATAATTTTTTTAAGAAATTGTTTCCGGCTGCCAGAACTCTAGTGACGGCCGCCAACGACAACATCAGAGCTCCAGTGACCAGCTAGCTAGTAAGGGTTTCGGTTTTTTAAAAAAACAATAAATAAAATTAAGGGCAATATAATCATTTCAGCAAATTTATAAATGTCAAATTGGTCACTTTTAACGAAATTGAGATTTTCTAAATTCAAGTGATTATTTTGACATTTCCAGGTTCAAGTATCATTTTTGTGTCATGTTTCCTAGAAAGAAAGAAAAAAAGAAATGACATCGTGGCATTATACATAAGTTTAATAGAAGATGCAGAGAAAGTTGCCGTGTTGATAAATCATCAATGAATAACATCAATATATAAGCTTATAAAAAAAACACCAATATATAAAATAAAGATTATAACAAATCATATTATTTATAAAATAATTAATATTGACAACTTTTTCCCCCGCTGTCAAGGTTAGCTTTCTGTATGACATTCGCCAATTACTAAAGGAATTAATTGGATTTGGCCCTAGAATTACTTTTTAAGAAACTGTAAGGAAGTCTCATTAATGTTAATATCCACGTATGTTAATGTAATTGGAATTTCCCACCCTGAAGCTTCAAATTTGAAAACAGTAAATATGAAAGTGACAAACCAACCACAAAAAGCAAAACAAAAGGGCTCATCAAAAGTTCAACGCAGCTCAATGATCAGATAACCTCTTTCACAGCAAAGTTCTTCTGTAACATAAAAGAAAGGATCCTAGCACATGTTAATGTAAGCAAAAGGGAAACAGCAAAGAAATCAAACAGATTATAAACCAAGAAAACTGAACTGAGCGAACCGAGCTTGTGAGCTCTTTATGAAGAGACAAAATCAAAATCCCAGTGAAGGAGTTAATAAGAAGAAGAAACAAACAATGATGCTGTTGCAAGAATGAGTTAGAGATCTAAGGAACGTAATCATTTTCTATGACTGGTCTGGTACGAGTCCCCAGAGCTAGAGGTGCTTTGGACCCTCCAATGGATGCCATGTGCAAGGGTTCATTGCTTTCTGCAGCCCACTCCATTTCCTGTATCCTCCTGGTTTCCTTAGACCTCCTAACCTTAACAAGCAAAAGATACAATACTATCAACAAAACCAACCCACCAACCAAAGATCCAACAATTATCCATGGAATATAGGACTTCTTCTTCTTCATTCCATGACATTTTTCACTTGGAACTCCAACAGAAGTAGAAGGAGCTGGTGAAGGTGATGGAGATGGAGATGGAGATTCAGACTCTTCCGCAACTATAGAGAAATGGCCTTGTTGACCTGTTGAACAGACATTCCCAGGTAGTAGAATGTCAAATTGAACTGAACCGTTTAAATCAAAGTACACACATTTGGGTGACGGTGATGATAATGATGATGCAGAGTGTGGCTGCTGCTTCTTCTTCACATCTGGGAACTTGATCAAAATTGGCTGATCAGAAGCTCTTATGTCCAGTTCAGGCAACTCAGTGGCAGACAAATTCGCAGCAGAATAGGCCAACAGACCAATAACTGGAGCTAAATAAGAGTAACCAGGCAAAGGGTAAAAACGGTCAGACCAATTGCCTAAGTTGTGATACACCAAAACAAGCCTCTCCACATAAGGCTGTTCAACAACCCCACTTGGGATCTGAAACTCCTTATAGCTTTCAACACCTCTGATCCTCAAACTACCACTCCTAAGCCTTAATGCCGCAATGCTAATTCCTGTTAGGTTAGAGGGCACTTTCCCATCGTAGGGAATCCCAGTTCTTGGCCTAATGAAGGCCCTAAAAGCATAGTCCTGAAGAAGGGCATCCAGTGAGCGAGCTGATAACCCAGGAGAAGAAGCTGGTGATGATGACGACTGAGCATTTAGGAATGGGAGTGAAAGAAGACATGGCAATGCGAGCAGTAGAAAGAAACTGGTTCTGACCCTCATCAAGATCTCATGCGTACCTTCAAAAAATTCAATGAAACCCACTAATTAGAAGAGTGAGAGGCCAAACCCCGAAATTTCCAAGTCCCATAGTACATTTCACCTAAATCATCGAGTTACAACAAAACCCGGCCTTCAAGCAACCAATTCCTGTAATGGGTTAACGACAAATCTTGGAATTCTTATATCTAAGTTAGTGTTTTCAGATTCAAAGAAGCCAGCAATGCGCAAATCTTGATTCGGAAAGATAATGAAGAACAAATTAAAATGGCTATGAAAAACAGATTCGGAGAGACCCGAATTTCATCAAAAATTCAAGAGGCGACTGAGATGTAAAGTTTGGACATGAGACTGGGGAGTTGAAGACTTACTGTAATGAACCCACATTGAAGCTTCATTGTATTATGTTAATGGAGTTTGGAGCAGCAGACGCAGGGTCCTCCGAGCGCGACTCTTGCTTCTTCCCGTACCCACCTGGCACCCAGGCTCTCTCTGTGTTCTTTAGGCCGAAAATCACGTAATTTTTTTGTCACGAGATTCGATTCTTGAAAATTTCTTACCGATGATTTGTACCATTTTAATCTAATGATATAATGATGAAAATGGTTTAGGGAAAAGAGGGAAGGTGAATTTCACATTATCGAGGGACGCGTTTGTGAATTATTATATGGACACACACACACACACACAAAATTTTAGTTATGTACAAGTTATTTCTGTTTTGAAAATTTTTGCTTAAAAGATAAATTGTATACAACTGGAAAAAAATTATACTCACTGCAGTAGCTACCTCTTTCTACTAATTGTTTGAAAAAATTGGTGATATATTGAATATTTGATCAGCTATCAATATATAATTAATTTTGTTTCAGAACAAAACATTAAAAATTTGTCAAATTTTTCATAATAAAAAATTATTTAAAAGTTAGATTTTTTATTAAAAAATTATTAAAAATAATAAGAAAAATAAAGAATCAAGATTGCTGCTGGTTTTTTCAATTATACCAACATCTTGATTTCCCCAAAAAAGGATTTTAATTTTGTTAAAAGGAAGAGGAAAAAGGTCAATGTCAAGAATTTGATTAGGGAGGAGCTGGAAGTAGCTGTGAGTGTGCAGAAAGAAGTTAAGCGCAAGGCAGATGCAGTGAATGCCGCGACCAACCCTTTGCCTTCCTCTTTCCCTCTCCTCCCCTCTTCCTTTACTAATCACTAATTTAATTACCTTCACCCCAAAATTTCACTTTCCTATCCTTTCTTCATTTTGCATTCAAGGAAAAATTCTTAATAAATGAATTCTTAGATAAATTAAAAAAATAAGTTGAAAATACCAATTTAAATAAATATAAATTTAGAAATTATAAATATGAATATTTCATTTAGATTTCAAGTGTAATCCATAAATTAAGATTCTTGTTTGTATCTAATTAATACAATTTTTTCGAATTTAGATAATATTCCCCCTTTAAAATTTTAATAAAAATATAAGATGTTAATAAATTTTAAAATATACATATTTAAGTTTGTCAAAATCAAACTCATAATAAAATACAAAATTTGCATGCGTAAATTAACAAGTATTGGTCTTATTAGTGGAATGGATTATAGCTATGAAATTTTTTTTAATAATAAAAATTTTATGTGAGTTAAGTTCCGGGAACTTATTAGGGGAAAGACAGGCTTCTAAGCTCTAAAAGCGCTTATAGAGTTACTTATAAATCGCCGACTGATAATGTTCTCATATTGATAGTAAGATTCAAATTCATGATTTTATAGGTTATGAATAAATTTCTTACCAACTAGATCAACTCTTATTGGCATAATTGTGAAGTTTAGACTTTAGATTCAAACTATTCTTTGAGAAAACTATCTACTCATCTCAAATTTAAATTAGTCAAAATTTAATGTAGTTTTGAATTTTGGATGGTATGTTAAAAAAACAAAAAAAAAATTGTACCAAATCCCATTAGGGCTAAAGGCTTCTGAGTTTGAATGAAGCGCGTGTTAAGACTTAAAGAGCACCACCTAGAAAGTTCGTACATGGACCATCTATTATTTTTCAATAATAACGCACATATTATACTTTTTACATACCTCACAATTTCACGTTTGAAAAAAAAAATTCATAAAATCAACAAAAGTTGATGTAATTGGTAAGGAATCGATTTATAATACACAAAGTCATAAATTTGAATCACATTCTTGATATAAGAATTTTATTACTGGGTGATCTGTAAGTGCTCCCTAAGCCTAAAGGTATGTCATAATCGTGATGAATTCCTGAAACCTAACTCATCTAAATTTTTTTATTTCAAAAAAAAATTTGATAAAAGAAGTGTTTAGTGTCTTTGCACTACAAGTCCGGCCATGAACCATCTGACTTTCACATTGTTCACAGCGTGAGCACTGAGTGGTATTACCTTCATGAATGCAATTAACTGACAATAAAATGTGCATTTTGTTTATATATACATATGGAGAGAGGCAGGTTCTTTATTAATAAATTCTGGAACAAATGATTTGACTTTTCATAACTTAATCATTACTACAATTTTGCATTGTCATTTGTCAATAAAGAATTTTTTGTTTATCTAAACATGTGAATGAATAATAAAATTTTGTGTGCTCTGCACAAACTCAAAAATGGTGAAAGTGAAAGGGTGGGAGAAGCCGAGAAAGTCATAGCTTGAAAGTTTACAGTTCCATCTTTTCACCACTTTAAACAAGACTGCTTTGAGTATCATAATCTCTGCTTCTAAGAAAAGGTTTCCAAAAAAACAAAAAAGCAACTTTAATGTCCTTTTTTACACTACAAGGGGTAAAAATTGTGTCTTGATCGTGCATTTATTTTTCATCTTTTGAGAAGAAGAAAGAAATAACATAAATTTAGTATTTTAGAGTCGGGTTGATAAGTTGGTACTGACATATAGCTGAAAAAAGGTGCTCTTTAATCAGAATAAGATATTCCTCAATGCTCATACAAACACACACTCATTGGTACAACTTTTTCTAAGTGATTAAGGTTCGGTTTGGATTCACATTGGGTTGGCACAAAAGCCGTTTTTGTAACCCAAAAGCATATTTGACAATTGTTTATGTGTTTGGACAAGTTTTTAGTCCATTTGTGTATGGACCAAAAGCTGATTGTAAGCACGATTTTAACAAACATTTGAACCCTTGCTTACTGCTTATTTATCATGCTTAAAAACTAGTCCAAAGATACTCTTAAGAAAATATCAATTTAGAATGTGAAATCTGTAATAAAGATTTAGTATTCACAAATTCATTTCTCATACTCTATGAAACATACATGGAGATGGATCTTATGATGATAGAAGAGTCAAATTGAATATTTGCATCATTGCACGGGAAACGAAGCTTTGAAGGAAACGAAAGGGAGAAACATGGCATTCGAGGAGCTAGAGGAAAACCCTAAATTCTCTTTTTAAGTGAATTGCAACAAGAATAAAATTAGAAAATGTTAATTAATATCCCTTTTATAGAAATTATGAATTTATTTCTTTTCTAAAAAGCGCCCTATAATAGAGATGAAAAGGAGTATAAATTTAATTTTTTGGCACCACAAATTTTCATTAAAAGACATGCTTATTACAAGAATACTCCATTTGATATAAGTGATTTTTAACAATTTCATCAAATAAATAAAAAAAGTTAAAAATTAGTTAAAGCTTTAAAATTGTCATAAAATTTAAGCAATTTATAATTTTACCCTATTATCTTCTATACTCAACTGTAACATCAAATCAGTCTCTACTATCTCTTACCACTCTTATTAAATAAGAGCTTATGTGGAAGGAAAAATAATGCTCTAAAAAAATTAATGCTATAAAGCATTAAATTCTTTCTTCCAATAATGTTTTCAATAGCTACTCATCCATTACTATTCATGAAGCAGCTACCCTGTTAAATGGGAGGCATTTTTTGAAAATATTGTATTAATTTCTGATAAATTTAATAAGTCCAGCTACAAGAACCATTTTGCTTAATTTTATTGATGTAGCTAGATTACGACTTAGGAGTACAATAAAGCATTTCAGAAGATGGGAGCAGGCAGTATTCAGGACGAAAGCACTTAAGTAGATTACTTATGTCAGGAGTAATGGATATTTTGAGTTTTCATTTAGACAAATAATGCTTATCTTAATTTTAGGCATAGCGACTTAATGAGTTTGTGCATATTAATTATTAGTTCTGATACGTCAACAAAACAAGAAAAATGACTCAAAAATATAGTGCCCGTCCCACTAAATCCGAACTAGATTACTCTAAATCAATTTTGCACTCTGTAAATTTTTTTTTTTTTTTGCAACTTTAGATGAGACTTTTAGTTTCTTTTTTACCATGAATGACAATCATTTTAAATTAACTTTTTAAAAATGATTTTACAATTAAAAATTTTTGTCTCAATTTGCAAAGCTAATACAAACACCCTTGAAATTCAAAACATAATCTTTTCAGTCAGAGTGATTAAAAAGCTCATCAAGTGGAGTACATTTACTTTGAATGCTCCGTATTACATTCACTTTAGCATTATTGGACACATCTTCACACTCAGAATTTAATATTCTAACTTGATGTTTTATAGCGATTTTTCTTTGTGAAACGTTACCAACATAAAAATAGTCCACAGTTAAAAGAATTTATAAATTAAAGAAAAGTATTAATGGCCCTTGACTAAACAAACTGTCCTTACAACTTCATTGTATCAGATATGATCAAATACATGATGCACAGACACAACAGCTGGGTAGTACCATGGGAACCGGGACACCAATTTGCTGCTATACATAAACTCCCCCCTTTAGGGTTAAGGCCGCTATACAGAAACCTGCTAATTTGGGTTTTACGCTGATACATAAATTGGGAACTAAAAAGCTTAAGTTATACAATAAAAGTAATATTACATAACAGGTTATGACACCCATGAAACGTGCAGGACCAACAATTAAATAATAACAAATCAAAGGAAACAATAAGATATTGGTACCATTCAAAACATTTCCCATCAAATTTGTATAGAAGCAGGAGCATTTCATGCGTCACTTGGTGTCCATTACTGGAGAAGAGGATATGCTTCTTGTCAGTTCTGAAGTCTTTGTATCCCTCCCTGGTATAGGTGAGACGCTTCTCCTCAGTTCCAAGCTCTTTGTGTCCATGTCAAGGGCAGTGGGTGAAGACAGTGATGGTGTGGTTGGAGATGAAGACACGGAATCAAGCTGCATGTGAGGCCCTGGGGGCAAATTGAGGGGATTAACTTCGGTCACTTCCTCATTGCTCTCATCAAAGTAGACAACATCTTGCATGGTGAGCTGGTGATATTCAACGACTTCCCTTAGAAACCGATTCTCCCGGGCAAACACTGAGTTTTCATGAGCCAGGCGAGCTTTTTCAGCCAACAGTGTTTCAAGTTGAAGTCGTATCTGGATTGGAAATGTTATCATAAGAATTAACAAATTATTTGGAGCAAGGGGGAAACTAGAGAGTTCAAATCTGAATAATAAAATCCAGGATCAAATCAAATTGAATATTTAAATGTCAAACAGCAGGGGAAAACAAGCATTTAATTAAACCAAAGAAGCAACTTAGTTAATTATACAGGTTAAAAAGGAATAGTGAAATTAAAGATAGAACTGCATACCATATCATCATCTTCTGGGTTGTCTCCCCTTTCACGACTCTCACGAAGAATTCTATTTTCTTCCTCCAGCTGCGCACATCGATCTTTTGCAAAAGCCAAATCAGCTTTAACGGTCTTCAACTCCCGAAGAAGCAACTTTGCTTTGGCCGCCATTGCCATTGCAACCTGTTATATACACAAGGTGAAACAAATAAGCCATTTCTAAATATTCCTTTTACATGAGAAGCAAAGCAAATATGGTAATGATAAATATTAATAAAATCTATAAGACTGCGTAGTAACTGGGACTCTCTCTCTCTCTGTGTCTGGAACACAAAAAAAGTATGCTTTACCTGTGAACAAGAATAAAAAGAAAATGCATGGTTTAACATGGCCCCTTGTTTCTTTTTGGGGTTTTTTTTGGGGGGGGGGGGGGGGGGGGACTTGTGGGACATGGAATCAGTCCTTGCAAAAATCAGATGAGAACAGAATGCTTTAAGAATGGGATGACCATTATAATGTTAGTTCTACAAAGATATACCGCCCGGGGGGGGGGGGGGGATATTTGGTTTGCAGGTCTTCAAACGGTGAGCCTATAATTGGTTGGAAAGAAAATGAGCTAGTTTCAATGAGCTGGGAAAATAAAAGGCTTCAAGAGTTTATTGAGCAAATACACACTCCTTGTCCACCTTCCTTTTTCATTCAGAGGAAGCATGACTTGCAGAAATAAATGTGAAACCCCCAAATAGTAGTTAACTAGATGAATTTTTCATAACAAACTCCTAATCCTTTAGGAGTTCCACTAAGGTTTCTAAACAGTAGTCTTTTGTCAGTAAAGGGGCATAAACCCTATGATTGGTTCAGCAGAATTTTTTTGCCTTGTCAATAACTACTTAATCCTAATGCTCTGCTTGGATGCAAAGAAAAATTGAGAGGAGAGAAAATGAGAGGAGAGAAAATAGAGAGAAGGAAAAATTAGAGGGAAGTTGTTATCATCCCTCTTGCTTGGATGGATGAGAGAAAATAGAGAGGAAAGAAAATTAACAAATATTTAAATGACTAAAATGTTCTTATCAAAATATATCATATTTAAAATTAAATTAAATATTGCAATAGAAAAATTATCCTAACATTAGCATCATTAAATAATTTAAAATCAAGTTATTTGGTTTATTTATATTTTCAAATTATTATGGTTTAAAACCAAATTATTTAATAAAAAAATTGTTTTAAGATAAAAAATAAAAAGTGAATAAATTTTTTAATATAATAAAAGAAAATAAATATGGAGAGGAAGGGAGAGGAGGGGCAATCATGAAAATCTTGTTTTCCTTCCCAAATCTCTCCATATATGGAAAGAAAATTTGGAGAGAAAATAGGATATAGGGCCCACCTTATTTTCTCCTTTACTTTTTCTTCCTCCTACATTTTCTTTCCTATCCAAGCAAGAGAAAACTTGTTTCTCCTCATGTTTTCCTCTCTAGTTTTTCCTCCTCCCTAATTTTCTCTCAATCCAAGCAGGGGGTAAATGTTAATGTTGTCATTCACCAAAAAGATAAAGTAAATTTTAATGTTGTTAGAAGAAGACCCATGATCAATTTTAGCAATATGTTCCTCCAGAAATAGTCCTTTGAGCTTGAAGAAGCATTAATGGAGTATAAACCTGACATACCTTGGGCCGAAATTTAAGAAAATGAGGCTGGAAAGGATCAAATATCTCATTGCTTGATCTTAGAAGCTCCAATACCATGTCAAAAGCCTTCATCTCAAGCTTAACCAGTTAGGACTTGGGAGAAGGCTAAGGATTTATTTTATTAACATTTCTAGCAATTTAGCTTTATCATTTTCTATAATAAATGACAGCAGGTCAGATTCATGGTTAGTATGGAAACCAAATTAATCAAGCTAATAAAGATCCCTTATAGCTTATAAGTAATTACACAGGCCCAACAAATTATCATGTTGAGCAGGTACTGAAGTGCTAAACTCACTCTTTACAACGAGAAACAACCCTCATCTTTCATTATGCATGTTAAATATACCAGACGGTGGACTTACAATTAAGAGGCACAAAATGGCCTCCGTTAAAGCCAACATTTTACTCCTATATGAGCAGCTATGTTATTAATTATTATCCATTTGTATTCAACCGTTGATCTAAGTTTCATGCAATTCTGAGCAGCTACACCAAGAATTTAAAACTGAACAGTGGATTTGTTTTCATAACTAACAAATGAACACAATCCCCATGCCAAAAATCCCATTTTAGAAAGCTGCTTTTCAACCAGAGGACTATATGCTGGGAGAATAATGATTGATCACGCAATTTCATTCAACCACACAAAAAAGTGATACACAGTTGCCACCTTACGTCGCGAGATGCCTTCAATTGAAGTTCTTGGTCTGTTTGCATCTGGGTCCGTGATTGTGAGTGTTGGTGTGTAGCAGAACGGTTTGTCTCCTGCCTCTCTAACTCAGAGCTGCCAGGCTTTTTCTTGATATGATTACGAGTTTCTTGGATGATGCCTGAAGTCCGATTCTCCACAACTGTAAAACCCTCCTGCAAATGTGAAGTAACGTTAGTGCTGATAAGACCTTGGACTCCACGGACCTTTTTTTTTTTTTGGGGGGGGGGGTGTGTTGTAATGCCTACGGCTTAAAAATTTATAGAACCTACAAATTATAAAATGACTTCCTGTTTCTTTCAACATGTGAAAGAATTTAGGAGATTACCTCCAAGGCATTACCAATGGTGCTACCAATATTGCTTAGAGAAGACGTGATTGCATCAAATCCCTTAAGTAACTTTGGGTTGTCCCTTTTGAGATTGTTCTCCTCCATGTTATATGAATGTTGGAACTACAGAGAGAAAGAAATGATAATCAAATTTGACAGTTGAAGCCATGATGAACAAGAAACCGCTAACAAGCCAAATGCAGAAACTGTGACAATAAAACACCTCAATTTCCACAAACAGCCGGAAAAAAAAAAATCCATATTGAGCCAGCCACAGTAGATTAACACAAACATTCTCATCTTATTGGTCAGACTTTTGGTGCAATAAGTTGTATTTCCCTACATCAGATGCAATTTTCTTTTCTTTTTCTGGTTTTTCTTTGGATGAAAAACTATAACTCATATGTATAATCTACTTTTTACAATTCAATAATATTCATCACCGTTCCTAATATTTTTTTACATTCTATAACATGATTCTATTTGAAGACTGTTCTTCCAAAGGTCACATCAAGCAACAATGCTTTTAAATAGCATTATCATTTATTACTTTACTATGAATAAATCTTTGATTTTTGTGTTTCCCTTAGAAGTTTATATATTTCCCCTGCAATGCAAGAAGCAAGTTATTCTAGTTTACTATAACAAGGGAACTCAGAATAATGAACCTTCATCAGCATATTAGCCAACCTTAGCATGTTGAAAGTTCCTAGCGGCAAACATATAATTCCTATCTCACCTTGCCCCTAGAAGCTGCACCAGGCATTTGTGGCTCCACCCTCCCAGGTGCTTTAGAATGCTGGGTTGCCTGTTCATCCTCAATTATGGATTTGGCTTTTCTGGCCAGAGAACCCCAAAATCCTTGCTTGGACTCATTCAAGGTTTTCATTGACGTATATTCATAGACTCTTGAATCCTATAATTACGAACAACATAACAAGTTTGGCAGAAAGAAACAAACACTTCAAATCAGGGAAATAGTGTTCTCCGTCTGGAGAATATAAATTACGAGTAAGAGAGAGAGAGATGTAGGCAAATATTTTTGACATCCATTTCCCCATATTTGATGCTTTAAATCATTAAGGAATCCAATATCCAGCTTTCATTTACTGTCCACAACTATAATTAGTTGATAAACTCAATTCAAAGATATAGGCACTGGAGCACGTGGTTTTGAAGCCTATAGACTTTGACTCATCCCTATAACCAAACTCCTGAGACAACTATTTCTTAACAAATAAATTATTACATAATAAAATGCTACTTATATCCATCCACTAAAATCATAGCAAGGAGAACATACCATTGCTTTGAAAACAATTACGGCTCAAAGACATACATAAATGATGAGACAGCTGTTACCATGATAACATATTGATAATGAAAATCTGTGTTTCCAAGAAAATATGGCTAAAACTCAAAAAATTGATGTAAACCCAGAGGGAGAGAATTTATGCTTAAAGACAGCTCACAAAATCATCATATGTTTTGACAGAGAGTAAGAGCCCTGAAGAAGATAAATAACATAGAAATAATTCTAAGAGTTCCTTTCGTTTTCCATCTGATGAGTAATTACGAACAGAGCATGGAAAATTAAAAAACGCTTTCGGTCTGCCATAAGTGCCAAAAAGTTTTCATTTAACTGATCAGGAGCTTTAGAAAGTAAGCCAGCTGTCAAACTTCAAAACTTGGTGCCAACAAAATTGGATGACATCGAATCTCAAACTTCATAAACCTGGAACTTATGATATCATCCTTAATCACCGTCCTGATTGAGAAAGAGATCAACAAAATACAGCATCCTTTTAAATTTATGAAATTTCAGTCCAACTAGAGGAACCAAAAACGAGAGATAAGTCTGACACACTGATTTAATATAAGCAGCAGCACACAAACAGCACAGACCTACGAGGATAAAGGAATGCTTCAAAGTCAAATGTAATAAAACAGCACAGACAGCAGGTGTTAAACCGACTAGTTTACATGTTGAAGAATTCCATATAAATATAATAACGAGAATACATCGCCCTTAACGCGCTCAGTAGTGTTTTCTACTCTAGTTTCATTCCGGACAGAAAAATTCCCTCTTGTTTTGATCAATTTTGGCCCAGCCAAGTGAACAGTTCACATTTTACTACGCATCAAACCTGAAGACAGAAACAAAAGTCACGTGGCAGAAGATAAAGAAGGTGGGAAGAAAACCTTAGAAGATACAGGTGGAGTAGGAGTTGGTAGGGCAACGGAAGGAGCACTGGGAAGGTTGGAGTGACGGTAAGCAGAGGAGAGGGAAGAGTCCCGACGAGCCGAAGATGCTCTAATGGCTTTGGCAGCTAGTGAAGACGGAGACGAAGTAAATGAGCTGTCAATATCAGCGGGCAGGGCATCAAAAGAAGGAGGAGGAGGAGGAGGAGGGTTCCGAATTCCTTCGTCTGAAAATTCTTCAAATGTCGCCGACGGTCTTGAAGTTCCTTGCTGCCTCCTTCTATACGCCATCTTCGACATTAACAAAAACAACGAGTTCTTCTCCTTCGACACCGTCAGCACGAATCAGTTCTTGCAGATGCTCAAATGGAATTTGGCGAGCAACCCCAGAATCCCAGGAAGCGTTAAGATTGAATGAAATTGGAATTTGGGGACAGCCAAAAGGTCGAAAATCGCAAGCAGGACCACCCTAATCTTCTCTCTCCACCATCACCAGTTGCTTGCTTCTCTCTCTCACACCGCTTCGTCAACGCACTGCAACGCTTGCTCCCTCAGATCCGGATCCCCATTATTCACGTGGAGATGCCCATAATTCAAACGGGGGAACCCGGGTCGGATCTTTCGCGCCGAATTACCTGAAGCCCAAAGTCTTGGGCAGGGGGTTTGGGCCCAATAACCTCAAAACTAACGGAAACGTACGCCCGATCTGATTTAGAGATGGCATTGAACAATGGGCTGCATGGGACAAAGTTCTATATTGCGCTTAGTCCATTTCTTCGTTATCAAAAAAAGGGAGGACCTGTACCAAAAAAAAAAAAACAAGATGGGTCCTCTTCTAAATTACGACATCCTTATTTTTTCGAATTACTTCATTCAGTATCCCAAGCCAGCCCTTATGTCACGGGAAACTCAACAGGCTTGGACTAATCCGGATTTGGCCATTGCAAGACCCCAAGGGCAGCTAGTCTACCACCAAGTTTTTAACGCTGCTGCATGCCCAAGGCTCAAACTTGACCTTTGGTTAAGCTAGAACGACTCCTTACTAGTTGACCTAAACGCTTGGTGGTTGTGTGACATCCTTATTTCATTTGAATGAATCTAATTGATATGACCAACGAAGATTGGGTTTAGTTGTTCACAACATGAGAAATCAAAATTTGAATCCTTCATATTTAGTGCTTGACAGTATCTTCAATAGGATTACCTCTAATAACAAAATACATATGCTTAGAGAAAAAAATATCATTGATATGAAAAGTGAAAAATCATCCACAGGGTTAAGTTTAGTAGAAGAGGCTAGTCCTTAACAATATGACAAGTTAAGGTTCGAATCCCCGCTAGTGTCTCGACTAAAATTGTCTTTAATAGAAGGATACATATACGTAGCAAAAAAAAAGGTGGAAAATTCAATCCTAACATAATGAACTAATGTTTGAATTCTCATGAGTAAAAATCTCCACATTTAATGTTTAAAAGTACGTGGAACAAAATTATCTTTAATAAAAAGGATATATGTTCCTAACATAAGGGGGGAAAAATGGAACTTTCTCGCCTTCAGAAAGCAATTATATAATTCATGATTCACGTAAGTTTCACACTTTCCTTTTTTTATTTTTAAATTAGCAGAAATGTAAAGAAGAAAAGTAGAAAACGAAGAGCAAGAGAGTCCAAAATGTGCAACGTCTCTTTGAGCTGTAAGTTTGTCTACGACAATAATTGGCGAAAACACACGTTTTTTTTATTAAAAAAAATCTATAAATTGCAAACATAATGTTGTAAGAGACCAATATACTCCCCTTATCCTATTTATGTGCAGAAAAAGGAAGGAAAAAAAAAGGTCATATTACATATAAATATAGAGTTTTACCCCTCATTTATTATAAGAGTTCACTTTGTTCTTCTAAATTATAATGTATATTACATAAAAATAAAATTGAAAAGTTATTGAATTTTAAAAAAGAATTGATAAAATTTGAGACTTTTCTTGACATGTGAAAACATATTAGAAGTAAATTATAAATAATACCAATAAGAGAAAGATGTGTCCCTCTAGTCCTATTTAGTACTTATAAAGCAAAAAAGAAAATTTTTATCCTATTCATTTGACAAAGAGATAATTTTTTCAATGTACGATGTTACCTTTTATTTATTATTGTAATAATTTTGTTTTTATGTGGTATAATGTATATTAACTAGAAATAAAGTTAAAAAAAGTTGTTGAAGTTTATATTAAAGAATGTTTGTTCGAAATATAGAAGAAATTAAAGGAAAAAATTAAAGTGCAACCAGCATCTTGAAATATTTTACTAAATACACCTAATGTTCTAAAGTTTTTTATGATATAATTTCACCATGAACTAATTTTTATAGTGCAATCTTATCCAATCTTAACAGATGGTTAGTTTAGTTTTGATCGTCAAATTGCTAACCAGGCAAATTTTTGACCAAAAATTATGAAAAGTGGCAAGTGTTTTGTTAAAAATGAAATATGAAAAGCAAAAACATATAAACTTATCATTACTTACTCCTCAATTGTTATTAGACTTTTAGGTGATTAAATTTCCATTTTAAGATCTTAAAAAAATACTACCAGAACTATTCAACTAATATTCAAATTGAAATTTAATATTATAATGAAAGAATCATGCATGATGGGCACCCATATGCAGCGATGAGTTTCAGGCTTCGATAAAATGTAATTTGATGATCGAAATTAGCAAACACAAGGTGATGGAGATTGTCTGTTTTAGTTTACATCGCCCCAATTCGACTTCAGAGTAAATTGTAAAATTAGATTTAAAATTCAAATCTTATACTTCATCCGGTTATATATATAAATAACAACTAACAAATCAGGTAGATTAAAATATTAGTTAAAATTAATTTAAAATATATATATAAATAATATAATTTTTTTCAAATCTATCCTCATGTATGAAGATTATTAAGAGTGAAAAAAATGAGAGAAAAATTGAAAAACATAATTAACTATAAGTGAAATTAAATAATATGCATCAAAATTTTAGATAAATAAAAAAATCACGATTGGACCAACCTTGTGCGAAAATATTTACTTGTATAAACAACCAAAAAGGGAACATAGAATGTACCTTTTCGGTCCTAAATGCAAGTGTGAATACTTGTAGGGAAAAAACTTTACTTCTAAATTTAAATCACTTGTTGTATAATTAATACTTGTTTTCTAGTTTTACTCTTAAGTAATTCTGATTGAAAAAAGAAAAAGAAAAAAAGAGATATGAAACTAATTTGTAAATGTAAAGAGAAAATAAATTTTAATGAGAATAAAATTAAAAAATCTTATGAACTTAATACTATATCCGATCCTAATTATAAGACCTCGTTTGTAGTTTTCAAATGAAACCTTATAATTAAGACGGAAGATAGTACATTCATTAGTATACCAGAATGGGTTACAAGTAATTCATATCCAATGCCAGCGTGGCAATGAACGAATGCTGCTTTTGATGGGCACCCATTGAACAGCGAATGAGTTTCAAGTTTCAAAGTTTAGTGATAGGAAATCACGGCACAGATTCTGCCGTGGGCATCAGTGGACACTATTATTCTAGTAAATTCCAAAAGCCAAGAGTAAGTAATAATGAAATCAAATAAAAATGTGAGAGAAGAAGAAGAAAGAAGCATGAAAAGACTCAGCGAGTGTTGAACACACCAGACACAAAGTATGGTGGCAGCTAGTGAGATCCACCTCAGCAGCTTGAACCAAATAACATACTGTACTAATTATAAATGTAAGAGACAAAATGGATTGCGGTCTTATATTTAAGACCAAAATAAAAACCAAACAGGATCTTATATTAAGGACCGGAGGTAGTATCACAAACCATTTCTTCTTCTTCTTCTTCTTCCTCCGTCACCATCATCATTAGTTCCTGTCTGGCACTTCCAAATATGATGCTAACCATTTTCACACTAATTAAGATCCACAACATCATCTATACATATGACACTGACACATCCCAACTCGCAGTGACATTAAAACACCCTCTAAAAATAACATTAGACAGACAACCTCCTGGAACTACGAGTACATACAGATACACACCTATATTCGTGTGTCTGTGTCTGTGTCTGTGTTGTCTGTGTAATTATATATATGTATGTACCATGATGTATCAGTGTTACTGATGACTACTGCTATGTATCCAGATTGTTTGGACCACAAACTTTGAGTATTATTTGTGGTCCAGTGCTTTTGTTTTGTGAAGATGTCACCGTCCTCGTCAAAGTTTAAATCTGCATACTGTAGAAAACAATGAGCATCAGAAGAACTCAGCCAAATGGCAGGTCAATATATAGAAATAGATTCATCATCATCTGAGGAAAATCATGATATTAAAACTGCTAGCTAGCTAGCTACGAGAGAGAGCCAAAACTAAGGCCAAAATCGCGTTTGGTGCAAATCATTCCACTTTAAATAGAACATAGTATCATCTGTGAGTTCGAATGTTATTGAAGAAATAGTGATAGATATGCTTTTAGGTAGGTGTCTCTGATCATGAGTTATTTCCTAAAGGCTATCCATATATATATATATATATATATATATATATAGTCATTGGTTGATTTGAGGTATAATAGAAGTGGGGATTTCTGGGTTTGTTTCTGAGACCGATCGGCAGAAAAACTCATGATTTACGCATGCCTCAAAGATGACATGAAGCAGCCTTTAACGACTCATAATAAATACTTAACCAGCAGGGACCACAATATATAGAAACTTGCTTGCTCCATATATACATATAGCCTGAGAAAGCTGCTCACACACCGCCACAACCATACCCCAAAGCTATCATGGCCTCCAGCTCGTATTATCATTCAAATATTTCTGATACAGAAGCAGAACTATACATATATATATATATAGTAGTCTGAGTGATATGAAATGGAGTTTAGTTTGAAGTAGCAGAAGAAGCTGATGAGCCAAAAAGAATCTTAACGCAAATTTTCTATTCTGTCAATGAAATGAAGTAAAATAATCCGACAAATGGCTTTAGAACACGCGCCCTGAAGGTGATATATATTCCAAGGGGAAATATATACTTGGAGGAAATGACAAATGAAACAGTGGCAGAAGCCCATCAGAAGGAAGGAGATCAAAGTGGTCCTGCCCTAGAATGACATCAACGTTAAACCAACAAAAAAAAGAAAAAAGAAAAAGAAAAAATCTGCAGAATCTTAGAAATAGACAGAACTGAGGTTAGAGAGCTTCATCACCTGACAATTTGATTTAATTAATGATAAATACTACAAATGAAGGAAAAGGAAGTGGCCCAATCACATGTGCCTTTCTGGAAATATAATAATACTGAGAAAAAAGTGAGAAATCCAGACCAAACTGTACTTGCATCTCGAACTCTTCAAGGAACTGGCTTAGTTTAATCTTTAGCTGTTTCAGTTCGGTTCTTCAATGTTTAAAGCCACAATACTGTCACACACATGCAGACGCTTTTTTTAAAATACGATCTTGAATCTTCTTTGTTAACCCCCCACCACCCCAAAAAAAAAAGAAAGAAAGAAAGAAAAAAAGGATCTTCTTTCAGTAACAATCTTACTTCTGCCTCAAAATCTACTATTAGGGTTTCTTTATCCCTCCCCGATGAACAACCGTTTTGAAAGCCCTAAATGTCTCTGATATGCCCAAAACACCAAATCTCGATCTTTGCACTTTTCGCCCTTTATGGGGATGAAAGGCAAATAATAATATCACTAAAAAAAAAAACTCATCTTCAAATTTTTTTTTTTTTGGGAAACGAGATCTGATGATGATAATGATAATAATAATGTAAATAAAATATATAAGGCTCACGAATGTCAAACCAACTAGAACCAGGATATAGCTTCAAGTTCCAACCCCCTGGCTCAATCCCCTTCACAGTGGACAAGAATCATAGGGTTTGTATAGCCTTTTGAACCGCTTAGCCTTAGTCTCTGACGCATCAAACCTGGTCGGACTTCAGAAGTTTAATCCCCAGGAAGGAAAAAAAGGAGGAGAGAGAACTTTGGGGGGGGGGGGAGTTATTTAAGAAACACATTTTACCAGATTATTCGACAGAAACCTAACCTTTTTAGTGAAAAACAAGACCATTTTTAAGGTGTTATTATAACAAGATTAGTGTAACGAGCCCAAGGTTGCTGGGTGGGTGGGTGGGTTGTTGAGCTTCATACATTAAAAACACGTACCAGCAGAAAATGACATGTCAGGATATATGAAGAATGGTTTTGTTTAGTTGTCTCCGGATAATTAGGGTTCGTCCTCCAACATTGAATGCAAGTAAAGTTAAGCCATTTTCGTTGGTGGAGGCTTCATCTTCATCAATACTTTAAAAATAAATAATATAAGAAATTTTATTCATAAATCTTGTGTGTGTGTGTACACACACACACACACACATAACCGATCATCCAGATTGAGTGGAAATGGATGGACTTGGCTTTTCATTATTTCTTGGAATAAAGTGACCGACACACTACATCGCCACCCTACACAGCTAGCTATCAAGCTACTTATCCAATAAGGGTTAAAAAATGTCGCCCCCAAGTCACCTCAAATCTTTATAGATACATATATAATTAGATACTTCATAGAGGAAAATTAACTAAATTATAGGATAGAATTAACTAACTTCACGCCTTAAAAGAGTGCTAATTGATGCCTTTAAACTCGTTAGAAAAATGTGCAATGACCACAATAAAATGACATGGAGGAATTAAAAGCATGTGTGACTATAAGAAAGGGTAAGATTGAAAAATTAAAAAATAAAAATAAAAATTAACCACAATATAAGGGAGTAACTTTCAAAAGAACAGACAATATCAATTGCTTCTTGGTACAAGCAACAGAAAGGTCAATTATCATATTTGGGTTTCCTTCAAATCATGCATATATCAATGAATATGCATGCAGAAGATAAATTTCAGTAAAATTATCTTACCACGGAAAATGATTTCACAAGATCCCACATCGAAATACTAATATTTATATCCCAAGTAGAAGCCAGTTCTGGTTATTTAAAATGGGGAAAAGGCAATTTTCTTTTTCTCTACCATACCTTGTTGTGAAACATTCCTTGAGTTACAAGGTAGACAAAGGCTTTGCATAAGAAGAATGGTTGTGTATGATTCATGAAGAATCCCAAAAATAAAAGCCCTGTCAAAATAGGTCCATGAAAAGCCAACAACAAAATATCATTCCAAAACAAGCATTATATGATCACAGATTGCCAAAAAGTCTTGTAAATATTGAAACAACATTATAACTAGCTATGACTTAATGTAGTATGCTTCGATTAAGATCAATAACTAATATAACTCTATTCCCATGATCATCAGTATGGTGAAATAGTAATCTTGCACAGAGATGGTATATTAGAACAATCAAACGATCACATCAAGCATATATATGCCAGCACACTTGTGTGAAGGCTCAAACAACATAAGTTCATCGATCTGTGTGCACCTGTGCTACAAGAATCAAGGATTTAAGATAACAATTGCAACTTTTTCCATTGTTAAGCTACTTAGTTTTAGAATAAAGTTCAGGGATTATGCGGTAGCTTACAGATATAGTGATTAAATGAATGATTATATAATGGTACTGATGCAATCAAATAAATATCCTTCTCTCCTTAGGATACCAAATGATCCATATCTCCGAAAAAGGGGAGAGGAGGAAGAGATTGCAGGCATAGCATAAAGATTAAAAAAGAAGGAAAGCAATAATCATCAATATCAAATATAAAATCCATAGTAAGTCACACCGGTCTTGGTCATAATCTGACCTTGGCAATTCACAGGATTCACCTAGTCAAGCAAAAAAAACCAAAAGAAAAGAAAAAGGAAACAGTGAAAGGGAGCTCCCTTCAGTCCAAGCACAGAGAAGAAAAGGATGAAATTTACCTCCTGCATCATTCACACATTCACAATAGCATGTAATGAAGAGACCTGTTCTATTGTGTTTGAATGAATGAGTCAGCAGCTAATTCAAACCCCTTTACCCTTCCATGAGTGGACTGAAGGAAGCTCTCTTAAACTGCTTAATTCCTCATTTAATTAATTAATTAAGCCTCAATCAAATATACCATTATCATATCCCTAAAGGATATTTAGTAATACCAAGATTAAGGGCATTCCAATTCTTAAAGACCAAGCTTTGCAAATAAGCATCATTATTGAATCAGGGCATGCTGCAAAATTTTAATGAATTAGGCATATCACAATTTACTGTATTCCCAGAAAACAAACAAAATTTTGGCCAAAACGGCACCAATTCCAGACCATAACATTTCAAGTGTACATCTGAAACTAACAAAGTTGAACGGCAATTTTGTGCCATAGCCCTAACCCTAGGTCTTGCAGCAAGCAAATAAAGTTATTTGATTATTATACACTAAGTTGTAAAAGATATTGCAGAAATGAAGGTGACAAGGCTAGAATGAAACGTGCTTAATATATATATGGATGGAATGATATTACAAGATTAACCATTATAATAGCAGAAAATGAAAGGGGTGAAATATACATATAGGGCGTTAAACTAGCTGAAATTAGTATATAAATCAAATCAAATTGGCTATATTTCTTACTGCTTTTTCTTTGTTGTCACAGTGCGAGGCCTCGACTGGTAAACGACGATCAGAAGTGCTGCAAGAAGAGAAAAGCAAAGCAATAATAGGACATGGCAAATAAGGGCAAAGAAGATTATGAATTAGAAGGCCAAAAGAAACACAAGTAAATTTTGGAAAAGAAAAGGTTAGGAAGGACGAAGCAGAGAGGAGGAGAAGGAGGAGGAGGAGAGAGAGAGAGAAAGTGTCACTGTCTTCATGAGAGTCAGAGAAAGAAAGGAAAGCGATTGAAGATCTCATATGTATCCACACAAATCTGGAAAAAGCATTATATTTCCGAAAGCAATCAAATATAACAACAAAACAGAATTCTCTTGACAGCCAAATTTTTCCCAACTTATAAATCAGAAACATAGGTGTGTATATATTGACGAGGCAGTATAAATAAATAAACAACAATTAATTAAGATTTAAAAAGGGCCAATCTGTATCAGAAATCAGAAAACAAAAAGAACACCGTGTATTTGTTTTTCCTTTTTTCGGTTTCTTCTCCTATTCTCACTATCCTCCTGGCTGAAAGAGACCCTTATCACAGCCATATATGAATAAAATCCAGGCTAGATATTACTGTACAAGTACTGTGATGGGAAGAAAAGAAAGAGCGAAAGAGGATGGTCTGAGAAGTCTGAGAGAAGATGTGGTCTTGCCATTGCCCCTTTAACTTCTTCTCTCTCTCTCTCTCTTCTTTTGTGGCAGTGCACTATTCTCTGTAAGACTGCCTTCCAAGCCTTTCTCTCTCTTTCTCTTTCATGTCTTTGTGCATTGGAAGTGATGAAGATTGAAGCGTATATATAGGACTTGAGGTCACTGATGCGTCTGGGGGATAAAATCACGAACCGGGGTATCTCGTAATTATATATACATATATAAGTATGTCATTTTTGACCAGAACATAAGTGTGTCATTAAATGAAAGGAAAATGACCGTTAACATGTTAATTATGAAGACTTAGAAAAAGAAAAGGGTACTTAATTTGTGAAATTGTGTTGGTGTTTTTTCGAAAAGCACCATTACTTTACAAGTAAGCATCTGTTTAAGAATTTTTTTTTTTTGGCATGAAAACTGAAGTCAATTCATTAACACAACGAGCTGTTTAAGAAATTTTCAATCAGGTACATGTGAATCCTCAGCCAATAATAAAATATTTTTAAAAAAACTGCCCTCAGTTAAATTTGATAATACTCAGCCAATAATATTAAATAAAAAAAATGATAATTTCAAAATGATAAATAGATGGTGCTAACTATTTTATAAAAGTATTGATTATTAGTATAAAAATTTTAATAATTATTTATTTATCATTTTGAAATTTAACAAGTATTTTATAGTTATTTTTCCTATTAAATATCATACACAAATATATATATCTCTCTTTTTATTTATGGGCTTATAGCACGGGTACTTTAATTAACATTAATTACTAGTATTTTTTGACCTTGAATTAGTATGTATTTGTTATTGATTCTTCACAAAATTATGACTTTAAATTGTTAATGATTACTAATAGGGGTGTGCATGAGGCCCGCATGCCCAATAAGCCCGCCCGAGCCCGCAAGAAAAGCGCCCAGCCCAGCCCAGTAAAAAGCTGCCCAAGCAAAAATGGGCATCTTCGGGCTGGGTTGATTCACGGGCAGGGCAGGGCCGCGGGTAGGGTATGTTGCCCTGCCCATTTGGCCCTGCCCGAAAAATATATATTATATATATAAGATAATATTATTTTAAGCAATTATCTCTTTTGTTTGGCCAAAAAAATTAGGTAAAATTAGAAAAATGAAAGGAACATAAAATTATAATTATATAAAAGAGCTAAATATCAAAATATAAGATTTAATATGCTAAATTACTCCAAGTCAAATTCTTTTCTTTTTCTCTTACATCCAATTTTTTAAAACAAAAAAAAGAAAAATAAAACCACCTTTCAAATTTTGTGCTTTCACATGATTATAAAAATCTGTCAACTATATGAATAAACTAAGGAATTAAACTATTGATTTAGCTTGATTATTAAATGTTCTAATTATTAAATATTTTTTTTTACCTCCCATAAGAAATTGAAAGTTGAAGAACAAGACTACATAGGCCTTATATATATATGAGTGATAAACTCATTCGTGATAATTTTTTTCCTCTCACTTGTCTCAAAACACGATAATTGAATTTTTTTTCTACATATGATATAAGGCATAGTGTCATTACGCTGGGCAGAAAAGCCCGCCCTGCCCAGCCCGTCCTTGCCCTGCCCAAAATGGTTAGGGCTTCTACTGGGCAGGGCCGGGCAGCGGGCTGCAAAACGCAGCCCGCTCATCTTTCGGGCTGGGCATCGGGCAAGGGGTTTGCCCTGCCCATGTGCAGCCCTAATTACTAATATGTGCTTTATGATTTCAGATAAGAATCATAATAAAATTTTATATTTAGAGAAATCAATACATTTTTATGAAAAATTAATTTTACTAATTTTTTAAAATAAATGTTAGGAGGAGTATTGTATTTTTTTTTTCATGTTTTCATATGTAAAATACTTCCTTCAACCCTTAATATAAAAACTAGAACTAATTTCAGGATATTAAGAAAATTAGTTAAGTTAATTATTAGTAATAAATTAATGTCACTTCTTTAAAATACTCCTATTAATCATATATATTAAACTACCATTTGATAGATACTCCTCTAGTCCTATTATAGGGCAGAGAGAGAAGTTATTTTTTGTCTTATTTATAGGGTACTAACAGAATTTTTTGTATGAATGTATAATTTTATCCGTATTGGCTTTATTTAGATAAAGTATAATATATACTCCTTCGGTCCTTAATATAAGACCTATTTATCTAATTTGATTATATTAAAAAAGTTAGATAGTTATTTAATTATAAGATATATGACATGTTTTTCTTAAAACATCATAATCATCTTCCTTAATATCCTCTCTTTCTCTTCTACCTGATTATGATTAAGGGAGTATCCATAAAGGTAATCTAGAAAAAATTGATAAATATAATAAATAGGTCTTATATTTATGATCAAAATCAACTTAACAACTAGATTCCATATTAAGGATCGAAGGAGTATTAGATAAGGATAAAATTGAAAAGTTATTGAATTTTAAATAAGAGTTGAAGTTTAAAGTTCTTCTTAGTCTGCATAAACATACAGGAAATAACCTATAAATAGGACCAGAGGAGTGTATATTTAACATGTACAATTACCGTATCAATTACTTAGGGGCAAAATAGATAAATAATAGAAAAAAATGGTTTGGTATCTTATATTTAGAACCAAATTAAATCTACCACTAGCTCTTATATTACAGGATTAATACAACGTTTGTTGTTATAATTTGCTCTTATTTTGATTTTGATCCTTATAATTTCAAATTTTAGTTTTGGTCCCCAAAAGACAAAATGACTTGTATCTGGACAATACTTATATCAAGTTTCTTATATTCATTATGTTAAATGTTTTAATTAGACATTGTCATGTGTTTGATTATTAAAATATTAGCATGTAATAGTAGTATCATTTAATTATAAATCCATATAAGACTAAAAAAGGACACAAAATCATGCGTGATGGGAAAACTTGACATGATAGATATAAAGAGTATGACCCAAATATTTTTATTTATATTTTTATTAAAATATAATGATTAGCATTTGATATGAAAAGAAACTTGATAAATCAAAATATTATAACTATAAAAATCAAAATTATAATAAAAAAATTATGAAAACTAAATATTATATTAATTCTAAAATATATCTATCAAAACAAAACGAAACGAGCTTAAAAAATGCCCTTTACCCGTCTCCAATTCTACAGGAAAATATTCCCGGAAGACACGACGAAACGAGGCAACATGCATCACGCTCTTTCATTTAGTTGACTACGCGTCACTTTGTGGTAACATGTCGGTTGTTAGAGCAGAAGTAAAATGCTTCTATCTACCACGCACACAATTTTTGTAAAAAAAATTCTAAAATAATTAATAAGCATTATTCGACAATAAAATATTTGATTGGGAAATTAACTGTGCAAAAGTATTTAAATTTTGTTTAATAACCTAGACACAACTCATTTTTTTAGCAGGAGCAGTTCTTATTTATGTCCAATTTATCTTCAATCAAGTTCAAAACAAACATATTTATTGTATTTATGGATATGTTGCTCTCAACTAAAACAATTTATTAATAGAGAATTCATAAGTGATTTATCATAAAAATATACTCCTAATATAGGAGATATCAAGGTACTCACTTTAATTTTAAATATAGGGTCTCAATACACTTTACTTTCTAAATTTTTTTTCTTCATATTATCTCTATTGATTGCATGTATAAAATGAAGTTTTGATCATGATGAATAAGGTACTGTTAAGTATAGGCACTTTAAAGGAATCAATACATATTTATTAAAAAGCTAATTTAATAATTTTTTAACATTTACTAATTAGCTATTTATCAGGTATTTAGATTCAAAAGAGAATATTGTTTGTATATTATAGATAAGATAAATAACCTCAAATTTCCATGTGGATACAAGTTATGGGTCTAACTTTCTCCATTTTATATAATTGATGGTCTTTAATGAAAAAGATCAATATAATTTCTAGTCCTAAAATTTGGGTCTATTTTAATTTTAATTTTTTAAATTTCAAACACATGGTTTTAGTTAATTTAGTATGTCTAAAAACTTTAGTCCCGAGAAGTATAATAATGTTAAAATCTACTAAAATGTCATAAATAGCATTAAAGTGGTGATGTAGATTCACAGATTACACTTAGTTAGATCTTGTACGGATAATAGAAAGGGAAAAAAAGAATAGGTCTTCAAAACGTAACTCTTTAGCTTCCTATTTTTTCTTCCTTGCTATTCATTTTCAGAAATTGTTTACTACACTCATTATGTTATCCACATAAAATCTAGTTATATGTCATGTGATGAGTCCACATCATCACTTTTAACGTCATTAATAACATTTCTACTGACTTTAATATTGTTGTATCTTCAGAGACTAACATTTTAAGACAAATTAAATTTCAGAGACTAAATCATAGGTTTAAAATTTAAGTTACCAAAACCAAAATGAGCTCAAATTTTAAGAATAAAAATCTTATATTTAAAATTAAATCAATACACTACAAAATAAATTTTTTACCTTAAAATCGGAAATAGTACTAGTCATGTGCATGACAATGCCAAAAAACATGTGACAAACTTTTAGGATTACGCTCTCATTGCTTTGTTTGCCAAATTTTTTAGACATCATGCCAACACAAGTTTCTTGTCACTACTCCTACCTACCTTTTTTTGTTTTTTTGGTTGGGTTTGGGTTGGTCCGAAGACCTTGACATTGTTGACACTGTCAATCCCAATGTCATGGTGTGTTAGCCCTAAG